GTGTGTGTGTGTGTGTGTGTGTGTGAGAGAGAGAGAGAGAGAGAGAGAGAGAGAAAGAGTTTGAGAGTTCTGCAGCACTTTGCTTGTAAATGCTACAGTTGGGTTATTTCCTTACTGTTTCCTCCAGGTTTTAAGAAACTCTGTCAGTACATGATTTCCACCCTGATTACCTACACTTCCCTCTCAATGGCAGACTATCAATTGCTTAAAGCCAGTCCGCTGAGTGTGTGTGTATGTGGGGGGGGGGCACATCACAATGTTTATGACATATTTCACTAGTATAAAAGGGATATATAGTGCATAATTTACAAATGAGAATAACAGACAACTCTCATTATTGTAAATATCATGTAGCAATTTGACTCTCCAAGAATGTTTCCAATTTATTTTGCCAAATTCTTGTATGGTAGCTACCCTCTGATTACAACTGATGAAAGAGTATGGGTACTGTTTAGTTTTCATTTAAATTAACCAGTAAGATAGGAGAAATAAAGGTTGTACCATACACATTAATGTAACTGTTGATCCACAAGTAGCTTTTCGGTCGTGTAACATTTTTTTGGTGTGTGTATTTATGTGCCAGCTACCTATATAGTTAAGACATTGCAAGTTAAATAAATATCAACATCCTCCCTTTTCGGTTAAGTCTAGAGGGACAGCCACCAATAAATCACAAGCTATAGGGTCTCATGCCTGTGGTAGGGATCCCCTCGTGGCAGACTTTGCTCTAACTGTGTCATGCCACTGTCCTTGAGTCTGGTGCACAGGAGGCGCCACTAGACAAGACTGCAGACATGCAGGCAGGAGGCAAACTCAATGCATATCACCGAGCAGCCGAGGGATAAGAAACCTCGAATGTCACTTTCTTTCCCTTCGCTTGTTATATAATCCTTCACATACATATGGTTATTAACAATGGCTATGCTTAACAACTACCTTGGTTAATTAAAAAAAATTTTTTTTTTTTTTTTTCCTCAAGACAGGGCCTTGGTTGTCCTAGAACTCACTATGGGAATTGGGCTGGCCTTGAACTCACATAGATTCATCCACTTCTGGATCCAAAATGCTGGGGTTAAAAGCACGCACCACTATGCCTGGCTTAGTTTTGTTGACTACATCCCCTTCCCATCTCCAGATACTTCTTCACTTTGTGATGCTACCCTACTGGAGAAAATTCATGTTTGCAGCAACCTAGAACCCCAAATTCTCATGTCAGCACCACATATTAAAATGTTATCACTAGAATTATTGTAATGAAACTTTAAGTGACCTGTATATCTCAAACCAGAGTCTTTTGAAATAGATCCCTGAACATCTGATATGCGCCTCTTCCTTTTTGTTGATAAAAAGTCTGAAGCCAATTCTCTGCTACCTCACAGATAAATCCAAATACACTGCAACAAAGTGGATTTCAATGATCTTGTTTTTTTTAAAGACAGTGTCTCACATAGTGCAGGCTGGCCTTGGATACATTGTGAGCATGTGATCCCTGACCTCTAGCCCCCAGGTGCTGTGATTACAGGACTGTATTACCACTTTTAATCATTTTAGAAGAAAAAAATAGAGTAAGAAGAGACATTAAACAGGACAGCAGAAATGTGCTCCTTGTAAAAATTCTCAATTTTTCTAGCCATTTTACACTTTGATTTATAACAAAATAGGAATCACTGTATTTTCTGCTAAGTGGAATGATACTGGACATAGTAATCTGAAATCAAAGACTGTATTTCTCCTTTATTTGGAATTCTGTGGGATCTAGCAACAGTAGCCTCCCACCCCTTCCTGATTGAGGAAAGTGGGTAAGTGCTACTCAAGACAAAACTTTCTAAGTCATGGAAGGAAGGTAGAGACTAAACATCGCCACACTAGATCACAAGGAAATACTATACATTAGGACTAAGGCTATAATGGCCAGCAGGGTTCCACCCCAGCTCTCCCTTAGAGCTTGTGATTTAGCTGTATTAACCATCTCAGGTCTCAGCCTTTCCATCTGGAAAAGGGAAAACAATAAAACTCTGTTTTCTATGGCCTGTTTGGAGCACTGCATAGTAACCAAGTCCAAGTGTAACAGGGTACCCAGCATACAGGGAGTACTAGCTGCTACTGAAGACCATCAAAGAGAATTTAGTCACAGCATCAGGCCTCACTTAATTATCTCAGGTACCAACTTTGCTAATAACTAACTAAGGCTCCACGGATGTGAGCCACAGAAGACCATCAATGCAAATAGATTCCACATTCAATGGTGACCACACCTGTATCCTCAAACCCTGTGCTCAAAGCCCTGTTCTTCCAGAGGGTCTGTGCTTGTATGTTTGTGACTTTGAGACAGGGTTTCATTATGTAGCTCTGGCTGGCCTAGAACCCTCTATGTAAACCAGGCTTTGACCTTGAACTTATGGTGATACCAGCTCCTGCCTCTCTGCCTGCCAAGTGTTACCACATCTGGCCAGGTACAGCATTTGATACAGGTGGGTCTCATAAAGTTTATGCGGGAAACAATGCATATTAACTTAAAACATTTGGTAATTCTCCCTCCAAAATCCTGTCCTGTGGGTCACTTACAATGACTTTCCCCTTTCCTCAATTTACAGCATGTATGGAGAATTGAGGGAGAGGGTCCGTGGTGCTGATGCACACAGCTGGGGAGTTTCTTTAAGACCAGCCCTGCTCTCCCAGTGTCTTAGGGTTCTCCAGTACGGCTCCTGAGATCCAGCCAAACATGTAAGCTTACTCTATCATGGAGGTTTTCTCCTTAACTCCTCAATTAACTTTAGTTATCTTGATAGCATGACCGACATTCACAAGTTAAGCTTGGATAGTGGTGGAAAGATGGCAGCTGGGTCTTATTTATGTGATTGGTGCGGGGACAGTTTGGGTCAGAGAGGACATTGAGAGGAAAGGGCTCAAGCCTGACTTATATGCTACTTTTGAACCTTAGCTGGCTACCGCTACAGACAGAAATCAGATGGCCTGAACATACCCGTCCTCAGAAAGGACTCTGACCCTAGAAAAAACATTTTGAATTCTTTAAAATCACTCTGGGAAGCAGGTATTAATAACCACCACCAGTTACATCTCTGTCATTTTTCTCATCTGGAGGAAGAAGTTCAAAGATCTTAGGCTTTAAAACAACGTGCTTAGCATGGAAAGAAAGCTACAGCTCCCGTCACCTTTACTGTGACGGGAGGTGGCCGAGTGAGCTGCCACAGGGCATCTTCCTTTAGCCATGTGCTCCAGGTGTGGTCATTCTCAATTCTATTTGAGGAGACTTGCAGAGAGAAAAACCTTCTGCCCAGGTTCAAAGGACTCTTCCCTGACCCTGGTGCCTTTAGAGCTACCTCCTGTCTGAATGTGACCATTAACAATTACCAAAGTGGGAATATTCTGAAAGCATTAGATGAGCGAGGAAGGTAAAAGCGTAGTTGTGTTCTTGTACTTAACGCCTGTGTCTTTGGCATTTACCCTTTGCTTCCCTTTTGCAAGCCCACTGCTTTGAGAAGATAATGTGGCAGTGTGTTCACAAGCCTGCTGCTTCTTGGGTGGCTGTGGTGCGTGCCTGGTGATTACCACTGCAGCTAAGGCATGGCACAAGCCCAGCATGACGCATCTTAACGTGTTTTCTGGTTGGAAGGGGGATTTACCACGGTTGCGCTTTTAAGACCTTCACAGTGGTTGAAAAAAATATGTGTAAGGCTGTTTTGAAACACAAAAACTACCAATGTGAAATGCTCACAGAATTGAGCCATCAAAAATTCTTAGAAACCTGAAACAAGCTGATATTTTCTATTATAATGGCATCGGCAACCAAAAGCACAAAATCCGCTGTACTCTGAGCAACATTCCTCCTAAGAGTTCTAGGAATATCGCTTGGTCCATTTGCTGACATCAAAAATGAAGAAGGTACACGGGTGATATAAAAAGCAAAGGAAACGACAGGCAGGGGCTGTGGCAGGCAGGGGCTGTGGCAGGCATCCACATGAGAAGGCTCCTTGGCTGCCGGATTCTACAGCAGGACAATTTTGATGGAGTGAGCAGAACAGTGGGTTGATATTAGAAATGTGTATGCTTTATGTATATTTTTAAGTTCTCAGAAGACAGAACTGTATTTGTACAACTGAGTTCAATAGTAATGGAAAATGCCACACAATAGCGTGTTAAGAGAGGAGATTTTATGGTTCATAGTGGGAGATCATTTGTGACTCGGACATCTGTAGAGACAGACACTATTTTCTTGCAATTGGTTTTTTCAACTATTATATAAAAGGCAGTTTCAAAAGATATAAATCTCAGGAAGATGCATCAAAAGCATTTCCAGAGGTGACCATCTCTGGCCCTGAAGGAAGGCAGCGTGCCGACATCTCAGAGCATGCGCCAGCCCTGGGCACCGAGGCACTTTTCAAGCATGCCTCAGATTTATTTTTGGCACTACAAAGTCAAATATGCTGTTAAAAATATTATTTTCTTAATTTGTTTTCTGTGGGCAAAAATATCAAAAGAAAAGGATAAACTGATCTCAGAGAAAAAGCAAACCACAGGAAGAAAGCTGTCATGTGACATGTTTGCCTTCACAAAGGAATCTTTAGTGGTGATTAGAGGCTTTCAAGCCTCCAGCAGCCAGGCTGTGAAATTCGAACCCAGAAGCATGGGCCAGTGGAGGCCCTTACTTCATCAAATATGCTGGCTAGTGCAAACAGGAGGCACGTTCCTGCTTCCTTCTGGCCCCTCGCTTGCAATTATGCCAATCACTTGCTGTTCAAGCTGAGAAAACTCTAGGTGTGTGTGTGGGGGGGGGCAGGGCTGAGTTCACCAGACCAAAAGTTCCATCACCGGCTCAACTCTGTCTCTTTGGTCTTCAGGGAATGGCTGAATTATATAAAGCCTATTTATAAACCCCTGCAAGTGATACTTGCCTTCATCTTGTAATGTGACATCATCCCATCAATAATTCAGGGGCTCACACATGGAGGAGCAGCGGTCACCTGGCCCGGCCCGCTTACCTTGCTCTTTGATCTGGCGAATCTGCTTCACAGTTTCTTTTAAGATTGCACATTTGTCAGGTTTGAAGTTGAAGTTGTCGATATCATTAAAATTTGCAAAAATCAGCTCTGCGAGTTCTTCTATGTACTTATTTTCCTGCTCACGATTACGTTTCTCGGTGCTCCTTTTGGGGCTAAGAAGGAATGTGGCATTATTATTTATTTGAAAAAAAAAAAAAAAAAAAAAAAAAAACCACTGTTGCCAGAATGTTAAACTACTTTTCACATGAACATAGGCAACAAAAGCTGCCTATTAACTAAAGCAGTTAAGGCCAAGGACGTAATTTGTCCTGAAGTGCTGTGTGTTTCTAATGGTTCACATTTCTGCCACCTCTTTTTGTTCTGTGTGGGGTTAGTTCAAAGACTGCTTCAGCTCCCAGCCTCACCATAACAAGGTCAGGCTCATCTGCCATTGCTGGGCCAGAACAGCACTTCACAGCAGAGGTCCCTGAACTCACTGCTGGACGGAGGAAAGGGCTTGGAAAAGGTAAGGGGGCTTGTGTTAATAGAAATTCAAATTCTCCTGATGACAAGATTAAAAAGGGGGAAATTAAAGTTAACCTAATTATCGTTGTCAAAGGTAATAAAAACAAATCTTCATAATTCTTAGATTCCTTTAGAATGCTTGGGATCCAATCAGGTAATATAACAAGTCCCAATTCAGCTTGGCGCACAGTACAAGTGACCCAGGGCTCCAGGTTAACTGTCCAGACCAAGTGACCGGCAGAATGCAAACAAATGATCAGAGCTCAATTGAACTTTAATCGATGGAGAAAAATATCAAAATTGGCAAAAATCTTCTCATTTGTCTGACAAGGTAACAGAACTCCAAGGTGCCTCTTGAAAAACAACACAATTACTTGTTCAAGTGCAATGGAGAAGTTCATTAAACAGTACCAAAGGGAGAAACTTCAGGTCTTTAGTTTTCTGTATTTAGCAACTTTCTGTATTTTTAGGTGTAGTTATTTGTATATATTAATTTAAAAATTTGTGAATTCAGGACTCATGTTAGAATCTACATATCAGCTTTACTTTCCTATATAAAGCCATGTTTACACAATTCTCCCTTTATAGTGGTTAGCTATGATTTTCCCGAGATTAGGCAGTGAATTCCTGCAGGGCAGGGCAGAGGGCCTGGGCTTTCTGGGCCTCATTTCTGCATGTGTCCCTTCCCCGGTTTGCTAAGCCGGCACAGGAAGGAGGCTGAAGGAAAGGCTAGCCAGAGTCCAGTTCCCAGGCTGGCTCCTCCCCTCGTCTCCTTTCTCTCCTAGACTGGGAAATAAATGACAGAGGCGAGACAGGGAACTGAGTTATAAAGACCCTCGAGAGAGCACAGGGAAGGGCCTCCCTCATTGTTGGCTTTAAGGGCCAGGTGTGGAGAGGGGTCCTGCGGTGTGGGCAGGGGAGTTAGACGGCCTCTCTAACCTCACGTGATAAGCATGGCAGCAACAGCCTCCACCATGGCTTTTTCAACTTCTTTCCACTTCTCTTGGTCACTTCCTAGCTCACGTTCCCTCTGTTTCCTGTCAACTCTCTCTCTCTCTCTCTCTCTCTCTCTCTCTCTCTCTCTCTCTCTCTCTCTCTCTCTCTCTGGTCACACACTCTATAGAAGCACTGTTTGTATTTAACTTTAAAAGTCATTTACAAGAGAGCGGGACGCCCGTCTTCGGGTCGCAGCCGTTTTGGTGCTGATCAGCTGGGATCAAATTAAAAATGGGTGATGTTGAGAAAGGCAAGAAGATTTTTGTTCAGAAGTGTGCCCAATGCCACACTGTGGAAAAGGGAGGCAAGCATAAGACTGGACCAAATCTCCATGGTCTGTTTGGGAGGAAGACAGGTCAGGCTGCTGGATTCTCATACACAGATGCCAACAAGAACAAAGGCATCACCTGGGGAGAGGACACCCTGATGGAGTACTTGGAGAATCCCAAAAAGTACATCCCTGGAACAAAAATGATCTTCGCTGGAATTAAGAAGGGAGAGAGGGCGGACCTAATAGCTTATCTTAAAAAGGCTACTAATGAGTAACCCCACTGCCTTATTTATTACAGACAAATGTCTCATGGCTTTTAATGTGTACTATAACTTAATTCATACACCAAAATTCAGATCATGAATGGCTAATAATGTTTTTGTTGGTCAGTCCTGATTTAAGTAAAACTGACTTGTAGTAAAAAAAAAAAAAAAAAAAAAAGTCATGTACAGGATTTAAAATATCAAAAGTGTGAAACATGTCTTTCTTTGTGGTGGATTCACTGAGAAACGCTCTCCCTTCCACGGGCTCAGGCACTGAATACCCTCACCATTCATGGACATTACGCGGGACAGCTCGCTGGAGGAAGTGTGTCACTTCTAGTCTGTTCTCTCTGTTCCATGTTCTCAGCCTCCTGCTCTAATCCTAAGAGGGTGCAATGATCACTATTTCCTGGCTACCCCACAACACAAACGCAGATGCTTCCTCCTCTTCCAATTCACCCCTTCTCAATACAAGGGGCATTTCTTAAACTTTGTCTCTCACATCTTTTGGGATAGCATCTAACTACGGATGTAGCCTTGGCTGGCCTCCAACTCCCATGTAGACCAGCTTGGCTTTGAATTCCTCCTGACTCAGACTTTGGGGTACACCACCACACTGCCTCTGCGCCCCAACATTTTAGGAGGCTTCTAAAAATACTAAACCTCGTTGTTTATCACAGTTGCACTGTGGGCACAAATGGGCAAGCTTATTCCTACAGCAATCTGCACATACAGAGGACATCATGAGGAAATTGGTGGCACCAGAACCGCCATTCAAAAGGACATGGATTTGCAACTGTGAGACTGCCAGATATAGTCTACATGGAAGGTTTGCCTAGTGATGGCACCGCCATACACAGCAAGAGGCACAGCTTGTTTAAACACTGTTTGCTTTATCCATTGAAGAACCACAATCATTTTCTACTCAAAAACAACTGGATTTAACATTTCATGTCATTAAAAAAAAAAATAAGACAAATAGGAACTCAGAATTGAACTAACAGCAAATCTTTTCATTTCAGAATTGACTTGTTATAACATTCTGAGACCTAATGGTAAAGAAAAATATGGAAAACCCAAAGATTGTAACAACAAACTGATTATAATAAGAGTAAAATACGTGAACAAGTATATGGGGGAATTTCCTTTCCTTTCAAAAAAAGAATAGAATCAGGATGGAGAGATGGCTCAGAGGTTAAGAGCACTGGCTGCTATTTCAGAGGTCCTGAGTTCAATTCCCAGCAACCACATGGTTGCTCACAGCCACCTGTAGTGGGATCTGATGCCCTCTTCTGGCATAAAGTCATACATGCAGATAAAGCACTCATCCATAAAATAAATCCTAAAAACAAAGCAAAACAACCCCCCCAAAACAAAACAAAACAAAAAAAATAGAATCTGCAAATAGTCCACATGTTCAACATTTAAGCTACTACATATATAAAATTTTCATTGTGAAAGAGAATAGCCAAGCACAACATTTAAATTGAGTGTACAAGTCAATGTTAAAATAATGAAGCAGCATGCGCAATGCTTTACTGGACAACATGGTTCGTTCTGCAAACAACAGTCCAACCTGGGTCCAAGCTGGTCAGTGCATTCCTTGCGTTTTCTTGTCTCTGCCCTGGACGGGTCAGAGGTGTTTTCTCCCATTCCACTCATCTTGAACACATATCAGCAACTAAAACAGAAAACAGGTGACAAAGGGAATGAAGAGATCAATCACTTAAGGAACTTTGACTTCAAACCGAAACTTGACAACAGTTATTAACATATTGTTTTGGCATATGTGCATATATAATTAAAAAGTAGCTTTCTCCCCATCCTTTTGCAAACCTTGCTTCAAGGCTAAGCAGACGGAAAGATAAACACATAAGAAACAAGCCCTCCTACTTCACTGAGCCCAGGCTCTTTAGGCAGAGACTCTACAGCACCATGAGCTGGGCTGTTCTCGGCCAGCTTGGGTCAGCTACAGCCTCTGGTTTCGAGGGGCTTCCGCGCCATGGAGATGACAGGTGTTGTAAGGGGTCCCTCCCAGCCTCTGTTTGGGGTTGGCCGATGTGGAGTGTGCTACAGTAGCTCACCCGTGACAGACCGCCTGGACAAGTGGGAGGGGGGAGGGCCGTGACACGATCAAGGGTTCCAAATGTAGTTAGCCTGACCCCTTGTAGTGGCCGGCCCTCTTCCAAGGCCTCTGAAGCAGTGCCTTTCAGATGGAGGTTCTTCCTGCCTCCCTCGAGGCTCAAGGCTTGGCTCTACCTTCCAGCCCCTCCCTCTTCCGCTCTGGGCAGTTCACCTCCCTCGTATGCCCCTCAAGGTGGCTTCCTCTCTCACATTCTGCTAGGTTGACTTCCCTTCCCTCAGCGAGTCTAGCTGCTATCACCAAAGGTCTATAGGATGACCGTGGGAGGGTCCTGCGGGCTAGCTTCCCTTTGGTGAGAAAATGAAAAGGACACACAAGAAGTGTCCTCACACTGGTCACCATTGGAGCCAAGTGTGACTTAGGTAGGCAAGGACAGTTCTCAAAAAGACAAAGAGCCCGTGGCAAGTTTAGGGGCTCAGCCCCAGGAGCTCAGAAGTCAGCGTCGGCGTCTTTCCGAGAAACCCAGTGCAGCTTTCTCTCTCACCCTGAATGACCGCGGCGCTCCTTTAATGTTGGTAGCGCCATTTCCTCCTCTCTAGACTAGGAAAAGACAGTGAGAAGGCGAGGAACGGCAGAAAGACGCCACCAAGAACGAGGGAAACGGCAAGGGGAGTTAGGGGAGTCAGTGGAGCAGGCCTGAGCATCAGGGCAGCCTACCAGTCCAACTGCCTGCGGTGTCCTTGCGCGCAAAGCCGGACCTCAGCCCCAGGGGCCCTACAGTCTCCTCCGACCACTGATCTGATCCAAGTGGGCAGTTGGGCCAAACGTGTGCTCTCTTTCTCTCTGAGAGTCATGTGTTTTACAGAACCAATTACTTTTAGGGAATCACAAAGGAGAGATGCTGCATCAGCAAGAGGGAGGTGGCCCCAATGGCACATTGCTTCAGGAGGTCACGTGGACAGCACAATCTGAGAACTGATGCCCCGGCTTCCTGCAGGCGGGAGCAATGTAACCAAGTCTCAAGGTCCAGTTCTGCGCTTACATTTTTTCTTCACTGGATAATAAGCACCGTATTTAGTTAAAATACACTTAGCACATACGTTATGTACTGAAGCCATTTACAGGGCCAAAGACTGGGAAACCTGCATTGCCAAGCAGCCATGGGCTAACATTTAGGCCCAAGCTTCGCCACGTGGTTAGCCATGTGACCTGAAGACTCGCTACTGGTACAGTCATGATGCTCTGCAGGATGCAGTCGCCACTGGCATCCACAGCACTGGTTGCAAGTCCAAGAGGAAGGGGGCAAGGCCTGGGACTTCCAGGGCAGGAGACCCTTACTCTTCACTAGAGCGCCACTGCTGAGGCAGTCACTCCTCTACTTAGTTAGCGCCACAGCCCTGCCTGTCTGTCACCTGTGAGCAGAGGCCTGTGGGAGACGGAGCAAGATCTGAAGCTCAGGGGCTTCCGTGCATGGGTGCAATCGCTCTTTCACTAAACAAAGTCTGCCTTCCTGTCAGTGCAGATGGGCGTGGTGGTGCTAAACACAGAGAGTGACGCTCGACAGTAACAAGGCGAAAGGAGATGAACTCATAGGCAACACTCCACATACAAACAGCCCTTACTGCGCCGTGACGTGCTCCTGCACTGAGGTCCAAGCCACGTGTCCAGGCTGGGATGAAGATAGAATGGATATTTTCAACAGAGGGTTGGAGACCCAGGCCACTACAGGAGGCACAACAATCTTACTACATTCATTTTGGCTAACTCTTTCTGAACGGTAACCAAGAGTCCACTAATGACCATGCAGGCAAAAAAAAAAAAAAAAAAAAGCTTTCCATCTAGTAATCTTCCAAAAAATGATCCAGGGAATTCCCCCTAGAATCGGCTGTCAATAAGTCATCCAAATACATGTATGATTAATCATAAAATACAACTTCCACTACCCAGCAAAAACAAACTCTCCCCCACAACAAACAAGAACCCCACATATGGTAGATACAGGTGATATTTTAGTGAAGATAAAACTTACATAACTACCATCATGCGTGTTGACTCACACCACCAGAAAGGTCAGAGACCTCAACTGTGAGAATAAGTAAGTGCTTATTAGTCACAGAGTGTCCATGCAGGATTGAACACTGGCTTCAGTGTCAGCCGCCTTCAATTCACACCCAGTAACAGCTGACACACATATTTCCACAACAGGACTTGAGGAGCCGAGCGGATCAAGAGTGTGTGCATTCTGGCCCAAGAACAGTAAAACTCACAGAGTATACCGCTGTATCTCATTCGTATATTCTCCAGATTAACTTTCAAAACACTGTATTTGTACCATTAAAACATCATCTGTTTTCTCCTGAATTTACTTACATGCCAAGTTTCCCTTTTCATTATAGGATGGCTCCTTAAATACATTTCCTCAACATGCAAAAGTTTCTACTTTGAGTCTGGATCATAAATCGTTTTCAGGTAATTTTCCTAGGTTACATCTCTCAAGTACACAAACCCATCAACATTTATATCACACAGTGAGAGTCCATCTAGCTGGGACAAGCCACAGAGGTCCGTTCAAATCGTGGCCACTCATTGGGTGTAAATAAGAAGGCAGGGCTAAGGACCCCTACCAGAGGAGGGGGGGTGGATAGTTTCAGGCTGGAGCCGGAAGGGAGGAGGGCAAGGGGGAGTGACAGGCAGCCGAGTAATGGCTGCTGTCCAGGAGTACATAGGTTTGTGATAGGCTCTTTAGTGGGTTAGACAAATGAGCAGGCCTCAATACTAAGGCTCTATGGATCTCTCGGTCAGGGGACGCTTGCTCAGTCATTTTCCATGTCCCTTGTGAGGTTTGTCTGACCCAAGTGCCAAGATTGCAGCTGTAGAATGTGGCAGGGCCAGGGAGTTCAGTTTTCCTCACCACTCAAGACACTGGGCAGGGCAGAAATGCCATCGGCAGATGACATAGATAAACATCGCTGACTTCAGGCTTACAGCAGAGTACCTAAAGCAAAATAACTTCCAATATAAAAGTAGGAGGTGGAAAAGACTCAAGGCACAGTTGACAGGTGGGTAAGCAAGCAGGCCCTGCACGTTTCTGTTTTCAACATTCCTATGAAATTAAGGCCCTTGCGTATGTCACTCGGAGACTGTTCAGTGTAAGTCACAGGCGTATGTCACTCGGAGACTGTTCAGTGTAAGTCACAGAAACCTATCATGGCACAAGTGAAACCTGAGGTGGCTGAGGATAATTACAGTGAGCTAGAGAAAACCGGTTTCTACCGGATGATAGGCGTTGTGAAGGACAAGCCTGGAGAAGAAGTTGCTATGTGTCCATTCTTGTTATCTATCAATAGCCACACAACAACAGTGCTTTCAGTGTAACACAAGGCCCTTCCTCCCAGCCCTTGATATCAGCCAGAACACACTTGATAGAAGAAGGGGGGAAAAATAAATAAAGAGCCACAAAATTCACAGCAAGCTTCATTTTCTCCAAGTAGCAATATTCTGGGAGGGTTGAACAAAGCCCACAGTCAAGTTCTGAGCAAATGACAACAAGCAATATAAAATGTCAAATCTCAATTCAATTAAAGAATGTTCTCTTTTTTTTCATGGAACTCATCCATCCAACTTAGAAGGTAGCAAAGCTGCTGCTTGCAAAGCCGCCTCACAGCAATGGAGCTACTGAATCACCCAGAACCCATGCAAGAGATAATGTGCACGCTCTCTCTTATCGGCACAGGCCATCTTCCAAACAAGGCCTGTGAAACTGTCAGATTTATTATATGCTGAACAAATTCAGTTAAGGGATAAGTAAGGATAATATCCTTGCTTAAATCCACACAGAATAAAGTGAGCAAGCACCAGGACTCTTCCTAGCTCTAAAAAAATAATAATAATAATAATAATAATCTTATGAGTTGGACCCTTGTTAAGTCCCTGACTTTTGAGATGGAATTCACAAGGAATTTTTCCTGGGACAGAGATGATACACACAGAGAAAGCCCAAACAGCTCCCTTTTTGTCATCTTCTGCAAGAGGAGAGCCAGCTGATGGGAGGCTAGCAAGGCTTCCTTGGCCTACAAGATCTTTCCAATCTGGTTTTTTTTTTTTTTTTTTGAGACAAGAGTTTTACTGTGTAGTCAAGGCTGTCCTCGAACTCACTTTGCAGACCAGGCTGTCCTTAAACTCAGAGATCTGCCTGCCTTCTGCCTCTGGAGTTCTGGGATCAAAGGCGTGCACCCAACCACACCCAACAGGTTTTTCCAATCTTTCTGGTCTCACTTAAAAAGATCCATGAAGCTGTTTTGTAATAGTAGTTGCACTAACTTTTAATGTTGGGATCAGGGGTGCTATGCTAGAACTTGGTTTTCTGAGACAGGGTGGTCTTCTGCAGCTCACAGGAGACTTGAACTCTCAGTCCTCCAGCCTGTCTCCCCAGTGCCGGAACCAGCTTCCTGAAGACTAAGGAGAGCTCAGGCACTAGAAGACGTATAAATGAGCATGTCTCCATCCCATTGTATGGAAACTCACTGTGCTTCCCAGTCATGTGAAAACAGTTGATTCTCAATTCCCAACAGCTCCTCCCCAGGCTGTACCACCCTGTT